GTGAATGCAACTTCTAAAGAGATGAGAATAGGTTCCATGAGTTTAGATTATTGAAACTGACTAATGGTGTGATCAAGGTTTCATTGAGTGCACCTGGGTGCTGTTGCACGAACTTCAGTGAGAGTTTCATTAGACCCCAAATGTTTAGGACACTGTGGGCACGTCTAAACGATGGGGTTTTTTTTCAAAAGAGGTTATGCAAATTCCGTGGGAATTTCCATATCTTCTTCTGATCTCACTTTTGAAAGAGGATCTTTCGAAAATGAGAGTAGTCTGGATGTGGGTTTTTTTTTTTCCCAGGGAAAAAAATGCTCTTCCTTAAAAAAGGAGGTTTACATGGGGTTTTTTTGAAAAAGGGTTTTTTTCTCCCCAAAAAACTGCATCCAGACTACTTTCACTTTCAAAAGATCCTCTTTCAAAAGTCAGATCAGAAGAAAATATGCAAATTCCCACAGAATTTGCATATCCTCTTTCAAAAATTCTAAGTAGTCTAGACATAGCCTGTTTAAATAGCATACAACTATTTGTTATAACAGGAGCAACTCTTACAACTCTCCTGATAAAGATTCCTGTAATCTCCTTACCTCTGTCGTGATTGCTGTAACCTCCTTCTCTCTAGCATCTCCAACATCAACCTTGCTCCCTTTCCTGATTTTCTAGGATGTCCGTCCCCCTCTTTTCTCCATAACATCTTCTGACTTTTATGGGAGTTGGTATGGGATCCCCTCTCCTTTTAAAAGCTCCTAGTATCACAGTGTAGCTGCTTGTGGATATACTCTGGAGAGGAAGAATTCATGAACATAACCAATTCTCAGAGCTAGTACCATTGTATTTTAAAACATGTGTATATCGCTATGCTAGTACAGACTACTAGCTACACAGTACCACTATAGCAACATTACAGAGGTTATGACTAGAACTGAAGGCCAGAAAACCTTTAAAGCATGTCATAGGACTTCATTGCTCAGAGGGAAATCCATCTAGGAGTACTGGGCTGTGGATCTCACTACTCCACCAAACCATAAGAACATAAGAATGGCTGTACTGGGTCAGACCAAAGGTTAATCTAGCCCAGTAGCTTGTCTGCTGACAGTGGCCAGTGCCAAGTGCCCCAGAGGGGGTGGACTGAAGACAATGATCAAGCAATTTGTCTCCTGCCATCTTTCTCCAGCCTCTGACAAACAGAGGCCAGGGACATTTCTATCCCCTGGCTAATAGCCTTTTATGGACCTAACCTCCATGAAATTATCTAGCTTCTCTTTAAACTCTGTTATAGTCCTAGCCTTCACAGCCTCCTCTGGGAAGGAGTTCCACAGGCTGACTACACGCTGTGTGAAGAAGAACTTTCTTTTATTAGTTTTAAACCTTCTACCCATTAATTTCATTTGGTGTCCTCTAGTTCTTCTATTATGGGAACTAATAAATAACTTTTCTTTATTCACCCTCTCCACACCACTCATGATTTTATATATCTCTATCATATCCCTCCTCAGTCTCCTCTTTTCTAAACTGAAAAGTCCCAATCGCTCTAACCTTTCTTCATATGGGACCCGTTCCAAACCCCTAATCATTTTAGTTGCCCTTTTCTGAACCCTCTCCAAGGCCAAAATATCTTTTTTGAGGTGAAAAGACCACATCTGTACACAGTATTCAAGATGTGGGCGTACCATAGTTTTATACAGAGGCAGTAAGATATTCTGGGTCTTATTTTCTATCCCTTTCTTAATAATTCCTAACATTCTATTTGCCTTTTTGACCGCCGCTGCACACTGCGTGGAAGTTTTCAGAGACCTATCCATGATAACTCCAAGATCTCTTTCCTGATTTGTCATAGCCAAATTAGCCCCCATCATACTGTACGTATAGTTGGGGTTATTTTTTCCAACGTGCATTACTTTACACATATCCACATTAAATTTCATTTGCCATTTTGTTGCCCACTCACTCAGTCTGGTGAGATCTTTTTGAAGTTCTTCACAGTCTGCTTCTGTCCTGACAATCTTAAACAGTTTAGTATCATCCACAAACTTTACCACCTTGCTGCTTACCCCTTTCTCCAGATCATTTATGAATAAGTTGAACAGGATTGGTCCCAGGACTGACCCTTGGGGGACACCACTAGTTACCCACTAGCTGTTGGCCCCTGAATTGCTGTGGCCACACAGTCTTGCCTGCAGTATGCTTGTGCACCCCAGGTTTCCACGCAGCTTCACAGGCAGCTATCACAAGCTTATTTTACCTAATGGTGTGATACTGTACATTGACCTGGCCTATAATGAAGGTGTAAATCCTTTCACTGGCTATTCAAGTGCTATTTTTATATTGAAATGAATAATTCTTGGCTTGCGTGGGTAAGAATAAGATTCTGATGAGATCTTCATATTGCACCTGTAAGCACCACTATAGGAATAGAAGTACATTGGTGTCCGTGTTCCATTCCTGGGGGAATTCTGGGCCAAAAAAATTAAAGTTATGTAAAATTTTGCATATATTATTTGTCAAAATAACACTCTGTAATCATGCCAGTTTTAATTATTTTGGTAATTTATTTCAACAGTAGATTTATCCAGCATTGCTGGAGTCCTTAACTCAAGTAAGTTTTGTTTTTCCTCATTTAAATCATTGTTCTGGGGTGGGGTTGGGGGTGAGGGATTCATTTTGCAGGCTGCCCTGTGGAGAGGGGACAATCCCAGCCCCCTCTCACTGCAACAGCTTGGGGCTAGGTGAGAAGCATCTCTCCATGGCTGCCGTGGGCGCAGCTGGGGGAGGGGTGCACGTCCCCCAGCTGGGGGACTCACAGACAGGTACACAAACAAACTCTGAAATATTA